TGATGTTCCTGTACGAGGCGCACGCGCGCGCGCGCACGCCTCGTACAGGAACATCATCAGCACAATTGGGACCCCACTTTTGGCCGCTTTGAGTTAAACCCGAGAGAACAGGGTCTTCAAAACCTGAAAAAACATGCCAGGTAACAAGACCTGGGTGGGCAAGGGGGCGGCGGCCAGGCCGGCCAGTGCCGCAGGCCCTAAATAAAGTTGCTGGTCCGGACCGGGTTCGCCGCCTTGGAGATCTTGACGGAGATGTTGAAAGGATACCTAGGCATCCACAGGCAGCCCGCTGTAAGATAGCTGAATTGTCTGACTCTATCCAAGCTGCTTTTTATATGACTTGGCTTGCTGGAAGCAAGCCTGCCTCAGTCCGCATCTTGACAGAAGATGGACCCACATGTTGAGTTTCTGGCCTTTACCGCCGTCCATATTCATTCAAGCTTCGCATCAACGTCCCTGCCCGTCAGAGCAAGGATGCGACCACACCAATAAAGGCCATGGGCCGATAAGTACCTTGAGCGAGCGCTTCTCAGTTTCTATGCGAGCTGCAGCGTGATTTCTGTTTGTGCTTGCTTGCTTCCAGCAACCGCCTGTGCTGCTTTGCTATGTCTAAGGCCTCATGACAGAAGGAGTCGCACTTTGGAACACTCAACTGCGTTTAATTGATTTGGTGTCCTTGTGAAGGAACATGAAGCTCGACAGAGCGGACAAAGAACGATAGCGAGCTTGCAATCGCAGGGCTTCAAGGTAGCTACTGGTGGGTGGCTCAAGGTCATTGGAAGGACAACCATGAGTTGAGAACTGAAGTTCTTCGTCAGCAGCACCATGAAACTGTTGCTACTCCCGACGCCCGCTTGCAACATGTGCATGTCTTCTTTGTGGTTCCTGCTGGATTGACGGCACTATCAGTCTTCTTCCCAAGCTGGCTTGGCATTTTGGTGTGACAGTGTGACATTACATCATAGGGCAAAAGGATAGCAGGAGTAGGATTATATGGGTTGCGTATAAGGAGAATGCTAAATTATACTATAATATTCTATAACATACTAAAATATACTATATTATGCGAATATTTGCTATGCTAAACTATATTTTCATGGCCCTGGGTTCCTTGTATACTTTGGATGTAAGGTACCTGGAATGGGCATGTTGGACTTTGTATATCAGTTGGGGCCTGTGACTGTTCAAAACTGCCTCCTCTTGCAACAGTTCTGTAGCACCATGATCATACACAAAATGCCTGCCACACTCACAAGTACCGCAAGTATTTGATGACGGTAATCGCTCTTGTGACCATACCTGGCTACTGCTGCGTCCCTATGATAGTTTCCGTTCTTTTCCACTATCCCTATATAACTTGTCCTATAACCCCTGTATGAGCTATAGTCTACAAAACTCCTTGTATCAACCCTAGAATCCCCTATATATCCCCCTTTAACGGAGTTTAGAATATGGCTCATATAATCCCTGTGAAGGTCTAGACCTGGCAAGAGCACTGTTCCTTCAGGCTGCCGTTCTTACTTTCAAAATCATTTTTCCAGGGCCGGCCGGACTAGGATCATTGCCATGTGGGGGGTTTCCCAAAATTTGGGGTCTCTTTTTGGGGGTCCCCAAAATAAGGATCGCAGAATTTCGGGGTCCATATTGGGGTCCTCTATTTCTGGAACTTAACCGCCAGTGTCACAGTCACTCTTAGAGGTCTTAGCGATTCGGATCATGTTCATCACTGTTGCGCTGGTGAAGTATGATACACAAGGTCCCAGACAAAACAGCTATAGCTTCCACTACAGAAGCTGAAAGATGGTTGTGGGCTGACGCCATCCCTGGAACAAATCCGTGCCGAGAAACGTCGCCCAGGAGGGGAGTTGAGGGCATAGCTGCGAAAGGTCAGGGATGAAAATCATTGCCTCAACCAGATCAGAGCCACTCTTTGCACCAGCCTACACAACAGAGCGATGATCTCTATCCTCTAGCACGATCGTGTGACGCTTAAGTTAGCGGCCGCTTCCGCATCACCGAGGTAGAAGCAGATCACCTTTGCTACGGACTCATTGCATATTCCTGGCTTTGCCAGGTCTAGGGCCTAGGGCCTAAGGAAGTCAAGCAGGCGGATACTGCCAAGCAACGACTTGGATTGTAAGGGCGCTTGCCATCTCCACCATGTTCTCGCCATCACCTGAGTTGCTGTAGTCTCGATCCAGCCTTCACTGGCTTGGTTGACTGTTTGAGCGTTGGACTTTCGCTCTGCTCCGCGTTCTCATCGAAGGGCATCATAGCCTTCCGAACCTTTTTCCGGCTTCGGTACATAGCCATTTCACTTGCACAGGGATTTCAAATTGATTGGGGGGGGCTGCGAGAACGCGCACTCTCTTCTAAAAGTTGCTTGGCTGCCGGCATTGTCTTTCAATGCAAGCAGCATTTGCGCAGGAACCTGTAGCTTCACGACACACTCTTGGAGCTCCAGGTGGCGCAAGTTGGCAGCAAGAACACCGGTGCCTTCGGAAACTGGCGAAGGAAGTACATTACCTCGAAGGCCAACATTTGACGCCTGGGCTTTGCATGTTTGCCCGCATGCATTGTGTTGTATCATCGAACTCCCATGTAGGGTGCCTGTAGCTAGGAGAAGTTGCAAAATCAATACTGGTCGTTTGCCTGCACTTGAAATCACCACTACTTGTTGTGCCGTTCGGCAGCATTCAACAATCTTTCTTCCAGCCTGCGCTGCTCCTTTCAGCATGCCCTGCTGTCTTACAACTCCTGATTCAGGCTCAAGTAGAAACATGAAAGTCTTGAGAGTTGTTGGGCAGAGCTTCGCAATCAACAAAGATCTTTATTCAATTCGTTCCTAAGTCCACAGAGAGGATTGAACACCCAATTTTACACGTCAAAAGTATCGGAAAGGTGGCATGTTTCGGACAAGAACACTGCAGTGTGTTGCCACGCTCTGTACCGGCGTCGGCTGGTGATGGTGATTTAACGAACCCATGCCGCTTTGAAGGCTATTGCTTCAGGACGGACACCCCCAGTGCCCCCTTGCGACAAGGCTCCGCCATCGCCGCCTTCGCAGAAAGATCTGCAAAATTCTTGCCTCAACTGAAATCGGATGGTAAGTCAATGGAAGTCACCAACATCGCTCATTTGTCTGAAATGTTGCTGGCACTTCGCGCATCAAGGTGCAAAGTCAGATTCCAACTTCAGCAACGCACTCCAATCCTGCATAGCTGCACACTCCTGGCAGTCCAACACGAGTCTTGTGACGTCTTGCTATGCACGCCTATGGCACGTGTAGGTCCTTGCACAGATTCTCGCCCTGCTCATCCCAACCCATGCTGAAGGCCACAGCGGCAAGCCTTGTTCTCGGACTCTGGCATCTGCTCGCATGCACGAAACACAAAGCTAGGCTACTGGGTGGTGACCAGCGAGCGGTACGGGAAGAAGACCTATCCAGCAATGCATGCCAAAGGCATGTGGTATCTCCTGAACATGCTGCGCCAAGGCCTTGTCAGAGTTGACGGAGTTGTATACGCAGCTGAAATGCTCGTGAGCTTTTGACCATTCCATGGCAATGAAGTGGAACATGCCCAGCTCATACCCTTAGCCAATCAGGCAGTGGTCAACAAAATGACATTGCAAAACCATCCAAAGTAGGGCACTGAGGTAGACCGCCTTCTCACCCAGCTCCTCCATCCATTCAGGGAGAGACGCAGGGCATTGGCAACGAGATAGGGATGTTCTTCAGTGAAAGTCCTCTCCACAGCACCAGAGAGCCTTGCTGGTGATCGACACTGCCTGCCATGCATACTGACTACTGACCTTCCTACTCCCTTACAGAACCTGTAGGACCGATTCGCTGTACCTGCCTGTGCCATGAATGTGTTTCGCCAGGCCAGTAAGGAGCCTCCATCTTGCAATGGATAAGCACATGCTGCAGTGGCACGCTGGCAAACCGCTCGCTTCAATCAATCGAAGTAGAGCGTAAGAAGCGTGCCAAAGGAGTCTAGACAGTCTAGATCAGCTTGTAGTCAAAACTCATTCTCTGCTCTCCGGCTGGCAGGGAGCTCAGACCGTCGGATTTTGGTAAAAAGTGACGCCCCAAAATCAATCCCGAACTCTGAAAACAACCCCTCTCAATCTCCTCTCCCTCTGGGCCGCTTCCCAGTGGTTGAATACATACATTATGACTGGTTTCTGGCGGGACTGCGCCGAATTTTAAACAAGAAGGGCAGCGGCTACTTGCTGACCCAAGGTGTTTTGCGTGCCTGCCCAATGCAGCAAGGCATTCTCAGGCTGCCGTCCCAGGCTTGCGATCAGTATGTTGCCGGCATGCTTCATGTCCTTAGCTCAGGTTGAGCCGACACGCACAGGCAACGTGGGACTGCCCGGAAAATTTGGGGACTGCGGCGCCACCCCAAAATGCCACCCCAGCAAGTCCCACTTCAATTGGCGGCGCTGGATGCCACACGTTTTTTGTCTACTGTGGAGCCAGATCTGGTCAGTCGACTATGAGGATTTCAACTTTGTCCTCATCTTTGTACTCGCACTCACCAACGGCATCACGCTTGCGATCGAATTTGACGTTCCCACATGGTGTCGCATCAACCTTGATGGGGCCAGTGAGTTTGTGCTGGGAGTGCTCGCGGCAGATCTGCGCGCATGTCTGCTTGTCCTCGGTGGAAGGCTCATTGGTGCACTCGAGGACAACATAGCACGAGGAGAAGTCGGTCAAATGGAAGAACCAATGCTTCTTTTTGGCGGAAGCGAGCAGGTTCCAATTCTCAGCTGCATTCTGGCCCACAAGAACCCTACAATCACCAACAGCTGTCGGTAGCTTGCCCTTGCTCGATTTCTTCATTTCTTTCTGGCCATTTCGGCCCCGAGAATCTGTGTCCTTAGGGGTCTTGGAGAACTTGGGCTGCGCGTCTGACAGGCCTTGTGGATATGCGGATTTCCTGGCATCGGCTGGCTTACACAGCGGGGGCAACTGCAGCAGGTCCTCTGGAACATCGCTAGCCATGATCGCTTGAACATCTTCGGCCTCAGGCTTCCCTGCCTCGTTCAATTTCAAGGTGAACCGAACGAAGATCTCACCTCGATCTACAGCCGCCTCAGGGCCAGAGCCGCTTGCAATACGACTCAATGTGAGCTCTTCGACCCTCTCCTTGCGCATGAACACGTCACGGCCATACAATGCGCCAGCTGCGGGAGACTCGAGAAAGCCAAAGCCCCGTGCGTGATTGTAGCTCTTCACACGGCCATAAAAAGTCTGCGCTGGCTCGGCGTCGCTGCTGTCAGCAGGGTTCATGCCTAACGCCTACAAGGCAGCCAGCCCTATGCAAGAAGTAGAGCTGATTTGAAGCTGTGACAAGCTTGCAGAGGTCTACGGTCAACAGAACATTTCGGGGTCGAGTTGAGACGGTGCGTGGCACAGACTAGTCCAGTTGTTTGTCATATGTGCTGTCGTTCATACTTCTATGTTTGTGTCAGGCCAGTAATTGTAACAATGTATAACAATGAGGGAAGCAAGGCTTCAGCTTGCCAATGCCGATCGTGGCACTTCTGTTCACTGTCACCCTGCTGAACTGCCCGAGGCAGTTTTGTTTTGAGCAGGCATAGCCAGGGGATGGCAAGTACTTTTTGGAGGGACCTGCGACGGCAAGCCACGGTTTATCCATGACCACACTGTAAGGAAGGTCTGGGTCAGGTGCGTGCTCGCACTTGCAAGGCTTGGCTGTTTTCTCCACAATGCTACCAAGATATACGAAACCAAAAACATGCACTGCACACCTGATTGCTCATGGTCAGGATGTCATATAGCTAGGTGCAGGGTTCTACAAGCTTCCACACAACACCTGCAAGCGAGGTTGTTTGAGACGAGATTCTGGCTCCAAGTCCAAGTGGTACATTGCCAGTAGGATAGCTGCAGGAGCTGACCGTGTGCCAAGTGCACGCTCGACACATTCAAAGAGGTACATTTTCCCCCTCTGCCTGTGCATCACGAACCCTGCCAAGCGAATCAAAGGCACCAAGCTGGCAGGGATGAGGGAGGTCGCCATGTAGAAGAAGCCGATGCCAAACAAAATGCGCCCCCTCAAGTCCTCGTATGTCATGACACAATCGACATCACGTGCACACGCCCGAAGATCGGCATCAGTCTCCAGCACTTGCTCAAGACGAAAGTATGCGTACCAGGATTGTCGCAGATTGTATAAGGCACGCAAACGCTGGCCCAGCATCACCTGCAGCATGCTCCGCATCAACAGAATTTCTGCTGTAAAAATCTCGTGAGGCAGGCTAGCGGGAAAGTTGTCGCGCATGAGTTCTGCTGCCTTGATCAGTTCCAGAGTCACGAGCGCGTCACTCTTCCGACCGGTTAGAACCGTTCGCAAAAGCGAGCACTCTGCATAAGCTGCAGCATGCCAAAGAATTGAAGCCCTCCATGGCTCCAGCAGCACATGTGCAGCTTCCAGGTCATAATTCCACATCAGTTCCATCGCCTTTCTGTAGGCCAGCTTTGGACCCAAACCATGCACAACCTCGTGGAACACGGATGCTTGAGATTGCCGGACCTTTGCAGTGGAGCTACTGCTTGCAGGTGATGCATCGACGCCTTCGGATAACTCCTCCGGAACAGGAGCTGACCATTCGGACGTCCGCGAAGCTATTCGTGCCAAAGTTGTCTCCGGCTCGCGGCTTCTGGAATACGGCATGAACTGCGGACCTATGGGAGGTATCTCAGGCATTGTTGGAGATGCCGGCAAGTCTGGCAAGGCTTCAGAAGCTGGCTTTTTCTTGCAGCTGAGTATGAAGGCGACGAATGAAACCATTTCTTCAGCCGACGCTCCGTAGATGAGGAGGGGGCTCTTGCCCGGTCGCACGAGCTGCAACATCTTCGAGATGGGAGCCTGCAAGGCATGCGCGGACACGCCAGAAAACAAGAAATGTGATGCACCCTCCGGGATCGCGCCTGGGCTTTTGGCCAAGCCTCCAGCTGATCGTGGTCGCGGCCTTTGTGCTGACTCTCTCTTGCTGTCAGAAGTGAAGTATGGCTTGCACAGCCTTCTCGTCTGAGTGTGAAGTTGTACGTGGCCACAAATGAAAAAGAAGGGGGGGTGTTGGCAGAGTGGTTCGGCATGAGTCGGAATAAGGAGGGTCAGAGTCGGGAAGAAGGAGGGCTAACGAAACGTCATGTAAATTTACATGATATTTCCTAACCCAATATCGTATTGGTAGACTATTCATGTGCGGGCACTCCCCAAGCTGAGGTCACTGTCATCCGACATCGAGCTTTGCGAATCGGTGATTTTAGTTTCCCTGTAGCTTTTGGATCCCCAATACATTGAAAGCTGTATTTGCGTGCGTTTGACTGTAAGGTGGTGCAACACATACTCCGTAGACCATACAGCCTGGACCCCCAAAAGCGTGGTCTGAGTGTTTCAGGGGTAAGGGCATCAGGGTTCTAGGGTTGACGTAGGGTCTAGGGCTCAGCATGCATGGCTTGTCAGTTTCAGGGATCTAGTTCCTGTGCAAAAAATCATGTAAATTTGCATCCTGTTTTGCATGCTCGACTAAGAGCATGGTTCCATGGTCCCGACTCCCTCTTTTATGGTTCCTGACTCCTGCCCTGCATATTTCCCGACTCTCGCCCTCGTGTTTCCTGACTCCCAGGCCCTGACTTCCTTTCATAGTGAATGACTTCGACAGCGCCCAAGAGAAGGGACTACTAAGGGATTAATGAGCTGCAAGGTCGACGTTAGCATGCTAATAATTTGGAGGAGTAGCCGAGAGCACACTCTGCGAGGGCAACCCTCCCCCTCGGCACTGTTGCCTCGCGACTTGCGTAATAGACCAGCTCATCCTTGCAGCCGTTGAAAAAAAAACGCAAGGCCATCTTCCTAGTCACAAGCTCCAACACAAGCAAGAGCAGCCAGGTCTCCTTTTCAACCTGGCATGTCAGCAGACTTGAGCTGTCACCATAGCAAATAAGGCAAGGACTGCAGCAGGCACAAGCAAGATTTGATTTCCAAACTCTCCCGCCTGGCACCACCGCTTAACAGTCCGACCCAACCAGCACCCACGTTTGGTGAGCAGCTGTCGCTGCCTAAATTTCACGAGGTGCACCACATTGATGGAGCAAAGCTGCCCATGGAAACTCCACGCAACAAACTTCGTCTTCATGTGCCCTGCATCCAAGAAGCCTGAACGAGAAGCCGCTTTTGGGTGCCGCATTGGCCATGGCGCGACATTCAAACTACATGCCGAAAACCGAATCCCATGGACTAGATGAAATCTTCTCCTTGATCTCGGCTGGATAATTGAAATCACTGGCCGATCTTGCGGATATGCTTTTCTTCTGAACTGGAGGTGCTAATCTGCCAACATGTCCACAGGGCAGACTGGACTGTGCCCGGGAAAGCATGTACTGAACTGCTGGGAATTTAGAGCCATACAACTTGTCCTTGCAAATGGGCTAGCTGATTTGTTTGTTGTCTCTTGCAGCATGTGCCATTCAACAGCTTCAGGCCTGGCATCTTTGCACCTCAGAAGGTACCTTCGATACCTGGGGCAGAAAAGAGGAGATGTGAAGTACTCCAGACTTCACATCATGCAGTCGCTGAGGAATCAGGAAGGCACAATGCGTAAACGACGCCAAGACAAGCCAACCACAAAGGAGCTCGGAAACGCCTGCTCAGGCTGTGCAGGCAAATACCGCAATGAAGCGGCATGAGGCAAGCAAGGATTACGAACCTCACAAGAACAGCGATGGGATCAGAGGCCATCTCAGCCATTAGCTAGATGTGCTTGCTCAGCTAGTTTGCCTAGCCAGCATAGCTCGAGCTTGGTTTTGGTCCAGCTGTTTCAGAAAATGACCTAGTCGGATTGCCGGAGGCAGGCCTCCTGAGATTCAGGCTGCTTAGCACTATCTATGCGATGCGGGCTGCAAGTTCACACGTTGAAACCAGTGGTGGCGGAAATGGCGCAACTCCTGATAATCCATTGATACCGGAGTTTGGTCCCTAGCTGTGCTCGAGCCATATGCCGGAAGCACGGAAGCGCAAAAGCTTGAAGTATCAGGGCGTTCAGAGATGTTCGAAGTCTCATGCTTTGTCGTTTGCACGCTGTGTATACTGCCACGGCCTGAAAACCTCAATGTATTTAGGTTGCAGACAAGAGCCCAAAACGAGCTTCACCATGAGCAAGCTTTGAGCAACCAAGGTGTATCAGCTGGGCCAATGACACTTATCTGACTGATGGTGGTGCTTGGGTCTCTTGGAGTGAGTACGTTTCCGACCCCGTCATCAAGCTCACGCAGGAAAGGCTGGGGCAATTTTGATGCAACTCCTCAATCCTCCGGCCGTAAGCCGACGTTTCCCGCGCTACGCCGAGAGCCACATCGGAAAGGTGGAAAATGCTGAAATGGAGCATCTGCATGTTGCATCCATCTTTTTGCAGAGCGAAAGCACCAAAAGGCGCTGCATACATCAGCTCATAGCTAGCAAGGAACTCGCAAGTCTGCTAGGAAAATGGGTGACGAATCCGAGCTCTTCGCTAGCCCGCTGTATTTCATGGAGCTGCTGGAGTTGCTAGTCATCGGCTGGGAAACAAAAGAAGTTTCATCTTTTAAAGTTTCATCTTTCATTTTTGAATAACGACGGTCGCTGCTTCGCAGCATCGGTCCCGAAAGTCAGTCCACTGCGACGCCCCCTACAGCTAGAAGAGAAGCAGATCGCATAGCCACCAAGCCAGCACTGGCCATCTCTTTCTCGTCTACAAGCTCGTATGAGGAATCCTGCACAAAGCATGCAAGGAGACGCCTGGCACCAGAAAACAACGAAAGCCCAACCTGCAGGGGTCTAGCCACTGGTCCTGGGCAGATCCAACATGGCATGACTCCTCAAAAGAAACCCTGCGCATTGCGCATCCCATTCCGAGGCTTCAGCCATTCTTGTGCTTCCATCCGAAGATGCCGCCACCTGAAAACCCAGAAGCATGATGAGGGGTGCACGATGAAAGCAACAGCAAAGCAATATGTGTCGGGCGGCGCAGTCGTCGCACACGCTCTACCTTGATTGTCTGGTGCCCGGCTCGTAGGAGCCAGCGGCAAAAAGCACGGCATCTTGAGAATGGCGTGGCAACTTCACCTTCCCAGCATGGCCTACAACAACCCTGGGCGCCTGTCGTTCAAAGCAGCCACCGTAGTGCTGCACAGCTGCTGTAGACAATGATTGGCTTGGTCCTGTGCTTCCTGGGGCTGATGCAGCATAAACAAATATCAGATAAATTGTAAATGTAGTGTGAAACTTTGCGACTCTCTTCATGCAGCGCAGCCGACAGCAGCTTATGTATCAGCTGGTCATCAGCGGACATAAAAACGTTTACGAGGCCATAGTCCTTGGATCTCAGCTATGGAAGGCTATGGAAGAGCGGTTGCTACTCGCAAGAAGTCTGAAGAACTGGCATGGGCAAATCTGCTGCCAACGCTCTATAATTTCAGGCAAAGGCGTGCAGAAAGCATCTGCAATGTGCCCGGTCACAAAATCCCGGCGGTCACGCACGTCGATGAAGATCACACCTTCTTCCTCCTTGTGTAGGCGCTTGGCTGTCTCCAATCCAATCCACTTAACTTCCTCGACATCCTTGGGCACAAAACCAAACAATGCAAGAGGCCGTCAACCATGCTCAACAATCGCTACCGCCGCTACCGCGTCTGCTCCCAAGTTTGGCCAAAGCTCACCTCCCAGCCCATCAGAAATCCACATGGCACCATAGTCATCGAACTGCTGGCCCTCAAACTCTGCAACTTGCTTCTCAATCTCTGGTACGGTAGCTTCCCACCACCATTGGAAAAGCTCGTCTTCCTCTTCCTCGTCAAATAGCACCTGCCATCGAGAGCTTGACAAAGCGAAGCTTCGGTATCGAAACAGCAACACACTTCAATTGCGTCAATATGTTCCTTTCCTTGCTTGGGACCGGTGCTTGGGAGACATTTTACTCTGCCGAGCCAAAGCCAGCTCAACATGCACGGCACGCCTTTTCCTCCATGTCGGGAGTTAGCTTGCCGAGAATCCTCAGCATGAGTGCGCAGTACCAGACACCACTACAAGGGATGTCCTTCGAGACCCGGCAGATGGTAAGGGCAGCTCCAGAGTAAGCGCCGTTGCTGTCTTGTGTCCATCAGCGTCTCGAAAGCTCCGTAGACCTTGCCTCACGAACTTGGAGTCAAAACCATGATCAACGCAGTAACATTTAGGGATGGCAGAACGCTGCCCAAATTCACTCTCCCCACCGCACTGCCGCACAGTTGCGAAATGCATCTGCTGATTGTGGATGCTTGTTCCTCGTAGTTACAGCTTGGTCACACCACCCACATGTTGTGTCATGCATCTGGCACCAGAAGCACAGCCAAGAAACTTGTCAGGGTGCACAGACAACGATATCTTCCTGTAAGCCTTCTTGAGTACGCTCAAATCCGTTATGAGCTGCGGGGGAAGATCCAAGACTTCGAAATCATTCCGCGCTTCCAGCACTCCTTGATTCATCCGTGGGTGCAGCGGGTATTGGGCCGGCAACAGGTTGACAGAATTCCCAAACTGTTGTCAGCTTAGCTTCTCTCTATCGCTTTGTCATACCAATACTGCGGATCCAGCCTGACTTCGTATAATTTGCGCTTTGCCTCACCCGCTCCCAGGAGCACAATCTCGTCGCCGTTTCCGACTTGATCGCGCTCTATCCTTGCTTTAAAGCCATCCAAGGCAAGCTGTGCCTTGACCCCTTGAGAAAGACCTTGCTTATATTATCCCATTATTACCCTAATATAACCAATATTTTTCCAATATAGCCCTAATATAACCCTAATATTATCCCAATATAGCCCTAATATAACCCTAATATTATCCCAATATAACCCTAATATACCCCAATATTATCCCATTATAACCCTAATATTACCCTAATATTATCCCATTATAACACTAATATTACCCTAACATTATCCCAATGCAACTCTAATATAACCCATCCATTATCCCAATATAACCCTAATATATAACCCTAACATATCCCAATGTAACCCTGATGTAACCGACCGACCCTAATATTATCCCAATGTAACCCTGATATAACCCTAACATTATCCCAATATAACCCTAACATAACCCTGATATTATCCCAATACAACCCTAACATAACACTAATATTATCCCAATGTAACCCTGATATAACCCTAATACCGTCCCAATATAATCCTAATATAAACCCCAATATTATCCCAATATAAACCCAATACTACTTCTTGCCCAAGACTTACTGCATCCAAGAAGCTGATCGGGATGAAGCTCAATGTTGTCCTGGATCAGTCGGTCAGCCAACTGCTGTAGATGCTGGATGCAAACTCTGTCTGCTAGTGACAAGGCTGGGAGGGCTGAAGTATCTCCTGTGAGTCCTGCTCTGTAGCTTACAGGCATATACCATAGCATCGCTGCAAGTAGACTTTACCTGGCCTAGCAATGCATGGTGATCCCAACTATAGACCAGTCCATCATTGCCACCCGATACACCCAAAACCGCACCGTCCTCTTTGAGCAGCAGAAACGTGGCGCCTTCGGCTTGAAGGCCAACACTTTTGTCGTTGAGGATCACAACTTTCCTGGGCGTTGCAGTTAGCAACGATGAGGGATAATACGTCAGGTCCCGTCGCTGGCACAGCCATTGCTTAAAATTACTTGTTGATGGCAACAATAACAACTGATACTGACCAGCAATGCCAATGACGATCCTTGCAGGTGGTGGTGAAACATAATGAGGCAGGCACGAAGCAACAATTATGGAATAGTCCAATTGGCATGAATTTCCCTCAGCAGCAATGAATGGCTGGACTCTAGACGCTACGATTAGCGAAGGAAAGGACCGGCAAAATGCATGGTGCTCCCTTTGGAACAAGATCACCAACAAGAGCAAAATGAAGAAAGAAGACGTGACACCCTAAATTCCCACCCGGCCTGCTTAGGCCGTTCCCACCCATTACTAGGGTGGCCAGACACTGAAGATACACGTCAGCCTATACACTCGTACTGGGTAAGACAATGGGAGGAGCCTATGGAGAGTGGACGTATAGAGCCCCTCCGGGCTCTTC